AAAAATAAATAATTAAATTTAAACCTCCAAAATAATAATTAAATTTATTAAATTTGAACACTTCCAGCTTGAGCATGGTTATAACCACTGACAATAATTTTATGATTATCAAATTTGTAAAATATTATCATTAAAATAAAACTGTTAATTATATTTAATTTAATTGATAAAAACGACTAATAATTATAATCATTAATTATTAATTAATAAAAAATTAATATTTATAATTAATTAATTAATTAAAATTAATTGCAAAATAATATATTTAAACAATATTAAAAATATTATTGAAATTTGATAACCTTCACAATATTCAGTGTCACAAATAACACTCCTGCAGATCATCCGGAGAGTGTGCATCACGCCCCAAACCGTCGCGTCTATTATTTTCATCAGTCCTCAAACCGACGTTCTTCTAAATTTACCATTTCGACCCAGAGGTTCTATTCAACCACCAAAACGCTGCCGTTTAGCCCTTAAACAGTAACCGATTTATTTATTTATTTATTTTTTTTAAATTCTTTTATTTTCATTTTTATTTTTTTTATATCTTCACCGGAGTATGTCTCGATTCCCTCAGTTCACTGGCAGACACAGTCGGCGTCCGAACCTGAAGCCCGCCCTGTTTTTCTTTTGCATTATCCTCCTTTCCGGCGACAAGCACTCCGTAGTCCGCTGCACTTCTTTTGTTGCATATTATCCTGCTTAAATCTCTGCTAATTTGGCGGGTAATTTTCTTCGTCAATTTTGGAAGTTAAAATTTGGTGGATTCTGTTTATTTTCTTCATTTCTTTTTTTTTTTTTTGGTTTTAATTTTCATGCTTGCATTTTGCTGAATCTGTTCCCTTCCTCTGTACTGTTTCGGAAATGAAGGTTTAGATTTTTCTTCTTTGTTGATGTTTGCTAGATCTGATGTTGCTAAAAGAATCGGTTCCATTCTTCAATTTTCCCTTTCCTTTTTCTTTTTCTAGTAAAATATTACTATTATTGTTATTATTTAGATGCGCGATATTTTATTTTCCAAAAACAATGATTTTGGAGGAGGCGCAGGCTCCTTTGTTTGGTTGCTGAGAAAATGCAGTGAAAATTGAGAAAACTAAAGTGTGTGCTTTTTTCAAGTAATCAAGTTTAATATAATAAAGGATTCACCTTTTACAGATTAGGTACTGAGTTCCGATCCAAATTCACTCTGAATTATGAATTAAATGGTGCTGCATTATAGGACTTGAGTTGCCTGGTGGATTCGAAGATTTCAACACAGCCCGGTGAAATACCAGTGTTTATGTAATAATGGTTTTGGGTCTGAGTGCAAAGGGTCGAGCAGGTCCCGCGGTTAAGGTGGATTATCTAATCCACATTGAGGAGATTAAGCCTTGGCCACCATCACAGTCACTGAGATCCCTCTCCTCTGTCCTGATTCAATGGGAAAATGGGGAACGAAATTCAGGTTCTACCAACACTGCTGTGCCTTCAATTGGGTCTGTTGTTGGTGAGGGAAAGATAGAGTTCAATGAGTCATTTAAATTGCCTGTGACTCTTGTAAAGGAATTGTCTGTCAAAGGCAGGGATGGTGATGCATTCCAGAAGAATCTTCTGGAGTTCAACTTGCATGAGCGTCGAAGGGATAAAAACCAGTTGTTGGCTACTGCCAGTGTTGATTTGGCAGATTATGGCATTCTGAAAGAGTCCTTAAGAACAAGTGTTGCCATGAACTGTAAGAGGACTTTTAACAATACTTCTCAGCCAGTTTTATTTATTAAAATCCAGCCATTTGATAAGGGTCGGGCAGGATCCTCAAAAGGAAGACTGTCAAAAGGGATATCACTGGACAAAAATGGTAGTGAATCTGCTTCTGATGTAATGAATGAAGAATTTGGGGAAGAATCTGAGTTCACGTCATTCACTGATGATGATGTTTCCTCACACTCATCCTTGACAGTTTCTTCCTCTGCTTTGGAATCTAACGGAGTTTTACCTTCTCAAAGTGATGAGGTATTCTTACTCTCTTTTTTTTTTTTTTTGGCATTTATTTTTTTAAAAATAAAAATAAATCCCCCTTTCTTTGGTTTGAGTGATCATTTCCTTAAATTGGCCTGCATTAACTTTCCCATACAGTTACTGAGAAATTACTCTCCATGCAGCCATATACTCTACTTGATCTCTTGAAACATATTCCTCTTGAATTATTTGGAAACTTATCAGATAAATTATGCCCTATTTAGATAAAATGAACCTTTTTTGTGCATGGTTTGGTGGTACCAATCTGGGGACAGGGGTCACCCATTGTTAGTCTGCTTGTAGATCATGGTGCTTGTTAAGCATGAGGCATGTCCTATGTTCTGCCTGATGGATCCACTGCTGTGATGGATGCCTTGGGTTTCTTGTACTTGGTAATCACATATTTGTGTTGAATTGCAGAATGGATCTGCCACCGTGATGGATGGCAAGGGAGGGGTCAAAAAGGAACATGCCTCAGCCTCAAAATCACAGCTGGAGAAGTCAAACATGGGAGCACAGATGACAGTGCATGAAAATGCTAAGGGGAGTTCTTCTTGCTTGTCATCAGTAGACTGCTCTTCTGATCTTCAGAGCCCAGTGAATGGCCATTTTTCAATCTCCAACTCTCATGATTCCAGATTGCCCATCTTAAATAATGCTCTAAGCAGTAATGACCATTTCCCTGCTTCCTCCTTAGCACGTGAAAAAACAGCTGAAGAGGCCAAGACCAGCATGAGAAGCAATGGCTCAAAAAATTTGACTGAAGAGGTTCACAAGATGGTCTTCAATGATGGAGCAGAAGTTACTGGTTACAGCAAGGAAAATGCAACTGGCAGTTTTCAAGTAAAAGAAGCGCCCTCAGTTAACAGTCCCCAAGTGTCTCAGAAGCTGGGTGTTAATAATTCTATGGGGAACATAGATGGAAGCAATTTGCAAGAAAATGACTGTGCTGAAGATGAATTGTCAACTACTTATTCACTGGATTCACTTTCCCTAGGCCAGGAGAACAATGGAACAAATACCCTAAAAACTGAAAGATCAAAGCATCTGAAGTCTGTTCGCTCATCATTAGACTCAGCTAGGAGCATGGGATTATTTAGTAATAGTCAGCATGCAGAAGTAAAAGAAGATGGACTCCTCAGAGGTAATGAAAGAAAAGATGCTAAGTTACATGCAAAGGATACCAGAGGTTCCATTTTAGATAACAAAATCCAGCAGTTGGAGCAGAAAACAAAGATGCTTGAGGGAGAACTGAGAGAAGCTGCTGCTATTGAGGTTGCTCTTTACTCGGTGGTTGCTGAGCATGGAAGTTCTGTAAGTAAGATGCATGCTCCAGCTCGGCGCCTTTCTAGACTATATCTTTATTCTTGTAGAGAACGATTAAGATCAAGGAAAGCAAGCGCTGCTAGAAGTTCTGTTTCTGGGCTAGTTCTGGTTGCAAAAGCATGTGGGAATGATGTGCCTAGGTACTGCAAGTTCATTTTATTCTCTGTATTGTCCTTAAACATTCTTTACCAACACTCTTTTATTGTCTATAAAAGTGGTGTGGAATTTCATGATCTTCTTATGAGTGTAATATATCTTCCAATAATTGCAGGCTGACATTTTGGCTGTCAAATTCTGTTGTGTTGCGAGCAATTGTAAGCCAAAGTACTGGAGAATCAGGGCTACCACCCTCTGCTGGGCCTGCCCAAAAGAATGCTGGTGGCAAGGGGAAGAACCAAGCATCATCTCCCTTGAAATGGAAAGATTCCTCCTCTTCCTATAGAAAGGAAAACAAGAATCTCTTAAATGAAAGTTTTGGTGATTGGGATGATCCACGTACATTTATTTCTGCCTTGGAAAGGATTGAGGCTTGGATCTTCTGCCGAATCATTGAGTCGGTCTGGTGGCAGGTTATTTGTTCTTACTGTTCCTCATCTAGTATTTAAAATTTCACAATAAATGATTGGTAAAAATGTCTTGCAATAAGAAAGTCAACTAAACTTCAAAGATATCTAATGAAATTCTGCTTCTCGTTTCTACTGTAGACTCTTACCCCGCATATGCAGTTGGCCGCTGGAAAGTTGACTGATAAGTGCACTTCTTTTGACTCAAGAAAGAAATATGGAAGGATATCTAGTTCATGTAATCAGGACCAGGTAAACTTTTCATTAGATCATTGGAAGAAGGCTTTCAAGGATGCATGTGAGAGACTCTGTCCTGTTCGAGCTGAGGGGCATGAGTGTGGCTGCTTACCCGTATTGGCTAGATTGGTTAGTTTATGCCTCTCTTTTTTCTCTTGTATCCTATTTACCAACTTTATTCTTGGAGGGAACAACACTGGTCTAGGAAAATTTAAAAACTTATATTAGTGCCTCAACATGGAATTAGCAGGAAATTACTGGTACACTAATAAATTTAATAAAAGCACTTAAAGTAAAAACCATAACATTAAAATGCATTTACTGAAGGTGCTGAAGGGCAGCTTAGTTCCTTTTCGAATTGATTACTTATTTTTTCAACGCTTCCAATATGTTATTGTTGCTCAACTTTAGCTGATAATGTTTTTCTAACTGGGAGAACTAGTCCTATTTTCTGTTTCTTAACTTTATGATGATGTGCTGTATCTCTATGACTCTATCATGCCCCTAGATAATGGAGCAATGTGTAGCCAGATTAGATGTGGCAATGTTCAATGCAATTCTTCGTGAATCCGATGATGAGATCCCAACTGATCCCGTATCTGATCCCATCAGTGATTCCATGGTACTCCCTATTCCAGCTGGGAAAGCAAGTTTTGGTGCAGGTGCACAGCTGAAAAATGCGGTAAGCAATCCAAGTTGTAGCATCTCAAGTTTATTTCAGAGTCAGATTATTTGACATTATGATAGACAAGTCATGATTTTCAATATATTACTCAAATAAATGACTTGTGTCCTAGTTATGTCTGTTTCAACTTTGTTCTTTCTGTTTTATGATACATTGTGCTAGGTCTGCTGGTCTTTTTCCTTTAATAACAAAGTTATAGCATGCAAGCATATGGTCATCCTTTTGATCCAACTTAAGGACATATATCTCCCTGAAAGTTCTGAGATCTGCAACTCAATCCAAGTGACAAGTAGGAAACACTATGACCTCATATAGTTGACTGCATAAGATGTTAATGGTGTGTGAAGGTTAGCAAAGTAAACAGATTTATGGTTACACTGAAACTTCTTTCATTTTTGTTGCAATATCAGATTGGAAGTTGGTCTAGATGGCTGACTGACCTGTTTGGTATAGACGATGATGACACACCTGAAGATGACAATTGTGACAGTGATGAGCAAGAAGATTCATCCTTTAAGTCTTTCTATCTCCTTAATGCATTGAGTGATCTTATGATGCTTCCCAAGGATATGCTCTTGAGTACATCTATCAGAAAAGAGGTCTCACCAAATCAAGAACCCTAAAGTCTACTCTCAAGTCCTTGAGGGCATTGCTTGCATTTTATTCACGGTGCTTGATTTTATTTTTGAAGGTATGTCCAACTTTTGGTGCATCATTGATCAAGAGGGTTCTTGATAATTTTGTTCCAGATGAGTTTTGCCCTGATCCTGTTCCTGATGCTTTGCTTGAAGCCTTGGATGAGGAGGTAAAGCTATGATTATATTCAAATCACAGGCATTTTCAATCGTGAAATTAAGACACTTGCATGCTTAATATATGATGACCAAAGTTTCTCTTCTAGGACAATATCAAGACTTCCTCAAGTAGTATGTAGCTAGTTAGACTGATAAGTGAATATCAAACTATTGTTGTGCTTTTTGATTCAGGATCCTGATGAAGCGAACGAAGGATCTGTTACAAGCTTCCCATGTGCTGCAGCTCCTCCAGTGTATTCACCACCTTCTGCGGCTTCTGTTACCAGTATCATTGGAGAAGCTAGAGCCCGACCTCAGTTGAGAAAAAGTGGCTCATCTGTTCTCAGAAAATCATACACTAGTGACGATGAACTTGATGAATTGAGTTCACCCTTGGCTTCAATCTTCAACGATGGGATCCGGTCTGAATCTGTTTCATCAAAGCCAAGCTGGATATCCAGGGGAAATGGGAATCAAAACGGTATCAGATATGAACTCCTACGAGATGTATGGACTAAGTCTGAATAATTAGAGGTTTGATTCACGGGGTGATGATTGTGCTGTTAATGAGCATGTAAATTTTGCTTTTCACCGTTGCGAAATTGTAGCTGTTATAAAGAAATTTAATGTGTGTCAGTGTCACAAAAACCTCATACTTGAAATGATCAAATATGAATAATTTCTGCTCGACTAGATCAAATGTTGACATGCTTTCAAAGATCAAGAATCAAAAGCAATACAGCAGATATTTGTTATCAAGTTCGCAAGGGTATGTTGTTCTGTAGTTCAGTATAGTTTTGTAATTTAAATTACAAAATAAAAATCAGTGAATGGAATTCATCTCTCATTTTTGTAATTTGATACAGTTCGAGTTGTAAAATAATTTTTCAAATATAAAAAACAGGAATATATTTGTAAACCAATAGAAATGGGTTTAAAAAACAAAATTACAGAAAAAGACTCAAGGCAAAAAGGAGGTTCATACTTCGGATATATTGGAGGTCATGTCTCATTTGGTTCACACTTTTACTCTCGCCAAAATTACATTACAAACTTGCACTCTCAACAACTATGAAAAAGGAAACAAAAATTCAAGGCAAATCCAACTTGGATTTTGCCGCACATACTCAAAACTCATTTTGTTACCCACTTTTACATATATATATACTACAACTCAGGGATCTGAAAGTGAACTGAACAGGGGTAGGCAATAGATAAGAAGAATAACCACATCATGCAGTCAGCTTCTGTGAAGAACTGAGAGCATGCATGTGCTGGAGATGTAACGCTGCCAAAAGACCAGGCCAGGAATCTCCTGCTGCACCCATCGCCTGAAAGTTGAGAAGTTTCTTTTGATTCCTGTAGTGATCTTCCACTGACTTGACCTAAGAAGATGAATAATAACTTAAAGTGCATACACAAAAGAATAAAAAAGCTGCAAAAGATAACCTTCAACAGACTAGCCAACAATAACAACTGCAGCAAACTATGGCAGGGGAATGTAACTTCTGACTCAAAAGTAGCTATTACCTGCTCTGAATAGATGCGCATATTTTCCTTCCAGGTGTGTCCTACATCCTTGGACTCCCCCATGGTAAGAAATTCTGGACAAGAAGAAATCTTCTCAAACTCTGAATTTTTCTTCAACAACTCTTCTTCAATACATTTAAAATTGATGACCAGATCAACATCAACAATTTGGTCAAGAATCTCCTGCCAGAGTCAAGCATTCAAAAGTATGCATGTCAAAAGAATTTCTAACAGATTGTATCTCCATATTGCCCTGAGTTGTAGAAAACACAGTGGTAGTAATTATCATAAAAAGGCGAAGTGTGCATAATGTGGGAGAAAAGCTTGATATGAAATAAGGAAATGCAATTAGCATTTAAAGACTTACAGCCTGGATCCTGGTACGCGGAATCCCATCAAGAATAAAACCATTTTCACCCTTGTAATATCCTTCTTCCAGTCTCTTCGACAACAATGCAAAAATTACATCTTCTGGTACAAGCTTTCCATCATTCACAGCATTTGCAATCTAAATTGGATGATAAATAAGTACCAAGATAAAACAAAAGGGATGAGCATGCATTACAATATTCAAATTTCAAAGCAGAAACGGAGTTGGAGATCACAAAAAGTCAACTTCAGCAAAAAGAAAATTCAGATTAAAAAACACAAAGAAACTCAACTGCTTCTTTTATAAAAATAACAATAATAAGGCATAAAATAATTACCCAGAAAAAAAAAAAAATCAATTCATGGTTCATGGATCATGCATTGAACTAACAACATTAAGAAACCTCAGTTGAAAGGTATGGCAGCAAAGACAAAGTCATTGAGATGTTTCCATTGGACCAAAGAAGGGGGCATTCAGCCATTTACATCCATATGATTTACAATAATTAAAAGATTTATCATCCGTAGGTGATTATTCACTATAAATAGAGCGGGTCAATTGAATCAAAAGAGCCCTCCCGAATGAGCTTCTCACGTTCCTCAAACCCAAAAATCAACGTAAAAGCATAAAATTCAAAACGCTGATAAAGAAAAGATCAAAACTTTAAAAAGACCCAATTTAGGCATCATCAGATATAATAAAAACTAAAACTACCTGCTTGTAGAGAGAAGAGCGAGGGTTAAGCTCCTGTCGAACAAGGGTACCCATGGAAATGTGAGGAACTTCTAGGAGCTTCGAGAGCCTCTCGGCATAGATGTATCGTTTCACTCCAGGCTCCCCTATCAGCACCCACTGAACTCCCCTCCCCGGAGCCGCTCCAGCCGTGTCGACTCTGGGCTGCACTCGGTGTCGATCCAACTGAAACTGCTCGTCCTCATAGTTATCATAGTCGTAATCGTAATCAAGCTCCACCGCCGCTGCCGATCCATAGCCACGAACCATTCGACGCAGCGGCTTTACCTGCGGTGCGACGGAGGCGGCAGCTACTCGCAGGCGACCCAACCATGCCATGGTTGCGGCGCAAGAGGGTTTTAGGGGGAAGAAAGTGGAAAGTGAGAGCTAAAAGAGAGGCCATTAAAACGAGGCGACTCAAGGTTTTAGAGGAGTAAAGTGTGAGATGAGATTCCAAAAATATCTGCGTTTACGGTTAAAATTACAGCTTTGCTGTTGCCACCTGTCTTATTTTTACTGGTTAAGCTACGGAGAAAAAAAATCAACAGTTTTGTAAAACGATTTTGACTTTATTTTTTTTTATGAGTTTTTCACCTATGCTATTATGAATATTGAAAAATTAAAAATTAATTATATTTCAAATTTTAAAAATAAAAAAGATTTTTTAAGTAAAAAAATAAAATTTTTTTATTAAAATAGAGGAACTCAAATA